TCCATATGCTGCAGAGTATACAATCAAAACTTCAAACGATGGTGTTTACTCCAGTCATCTGGATCTTGCGTGGTGCCTGGAGAAATAATATCTATAGTAACAGAATCCAGATACTGAATGTAAAGGTTGAAGCACAGGAGCAGGAACTACTAAAGGCTCTCCAGGAGCTCCAGAGAACTGCAGAACTGACACAACCAGCGTTCAGGGAGCCCTGCACCCTGGAGAGTCAGATAAACACAGAGTTTGACAGAAGCTGCTCATGAAACCTTCACTGCTGACCTCAAGTCCCAAACACTGACTACAAGTACTGTCAATACTGCTAAGAACACAGAAAGGGAAGTGGGGATTAGTGAAGACTCTATTCAGTTAACTGAATAACTGAACACCACAGTGGTATAACTGAGATCAGCACCACAGATAGTGAGTCAATGACAGTCTGCTGTCTCCCTGGATCTGAAGTGCCTGATATTGTCTCTAAAGTCTACAGGCTTACAGGCTCTTTTCTCTGTAGCCCTTCTCCAGTCACTTCCGGATTATACCGTCTGCACAGGGTCCTAAACTACGTACGTCACGGGAGTCAGGACCAGCTCCCAGTACAACTGGAGGCCTTTCCATAGCAAAGGGAAATGACGCAACAGGGAACCAGCCGCATGGCCCATGGAGGGCGATGACGTCACCGTATCAGAAGCAGCTCTGCTACAGCTGCAAGTATAAAAGTAGGGCTGTCACCCCAGTGTCCTGGCTGAACCACATACTTGACTGCAGGAGGACTGAACCCCACTCTGGTCTTGTACAGTGTCTCTCTCCTCCACTCATCCGGGGGTGCAGGAGAATCACAAGCCTCATTTATTAGAAGATCTCAAGACCACTTTGAGCCTAGTAGTGAGTTCAGACTCCTGATAATTAAAGATGCAGCAGAAACTAAAGCCTTAATTAAAAATAAAATTAGCACCATAAATGAGGTAGTATTATGTTGTCCTGGACTTTAATACTTCTTGTTACACAAGAGGACTTAACTGTTTTGACAAAATTAAATGTACTTCGTATAAAAAGAAGACGTTACAGATCAGAGGAGTCACGGTGCTGGTTTGAACGCAGACCCTTATTGATCTGAGAATCTGCTTCAAACCAGGAAAATGACTTCAAGAGCACAGGTGGGTATCATGTTCCAGACACCTGCTGCTCTTTGTGTAAAAACGTATTTCCTGTCACATACTTCACTGTGATATACTGTATATATACACTGTGCTATACTTTAGGCTCGCCATGTTCTCCTTTGTTCCTCCACTGCAAATGGAAGAGGAAATGATGAGTGAACACAGAACTCCTGTATCCAGCAACTCCTTCTAGCTAATGGTTTGTGAATTTTCCACATCAGCGATTTTAATTTGAGAAACCTGAGCTACGAATCACAAAGCAAGAGAGGAAGTCAGATGACAAACTGAGTCCACAGCTGACCACAGTATGGGAAGTCGGAGCTGAAAGTCAAGAGTCTACAGAAACTCAGACACAGGGGCTCCAGTGTCAGAGCATCTCTTCACAATGAGACTCTGCAGGATCCTCCCATCATGCTGCCTGGTCATGAGCCTCATGGCAGGTAGGAGCTACCTGGGCTTCTGAGCTGTGGGTCACTGACTGGGATCATCACACTGGGCTGCAGGACTCACTGGGCTTCATACTGGAGAAACACTGGAGAGATCACTGAGAGGACAAGACAGAGTCTCTATCTCTGCAGGCAGGTTTATACTGGAGATACACTGGAGAGATAACTGTGAGGACAGGACAGAGTCTGTCTCTGCAGGCAGGTCTATACTGGAGTTTACAGGGAAAAACACCTCAGATCTTTAAAAAATAATGTACTTTTTTGTCATAGCATAGCAGAATTTCAAAAAACTTCTGTTAAAGATATTCTCCATCCCAGATCAGTTTTGAAGTAAGTTTACATTCTGGTGATTTTTCACCTTCAGTGGAATTAAGTTTCTATTTTTGAAGATCAAACTCTTTTAATATCAGAAATAACATATTTTTGGGGGACTTGATCAGAAGCAGTGTAATATGATTTTCTTCCTCATTTTCAGTCACTGGAGTCTCTGCTCTGACGGTCAGAGGATCTGTCGGCCAGAACGTCACTCTCCCCTGCAGATACACTGTGAGGGATCTCGGAGTGACGACGATGTGCTGGGGGAGAGGAGAACTACCTCTTTCCTGGTGTAATAATATGATCATTTCCACTGATGGACAGAGTGTGAACTCCAGACTCTCAGAGAGGTACCAGCTGCTGGGACAGCTGACCAGAGGCGATGTCTCTCTGACCATCCTCCACGCTCAGGAGAGCGACTCTGGGCTCTACAGCTGCCGTGTGAAAGTGCCAGGCTTGTTTAATGACCAGAAACATACAGTTAACTTGATCGTTACAAAGGGTGAGTGAATTGCACAGTAAAAATGCCTGAATCTAAAAAAATATGTTTTTTAGCAAAATAGAGCTACTTTGTACTCCAGTTTGATTCTGTTCTTGGGTTAAGATAAGATAAGATTTTTATCGTCCCTTGAGGGACTTTTTTATGGACACACAGCACTCCTGTACATTTAAATAGAATGCAAAAAAAAGAAGAAAAGAAAAACATAGTCACATTTCCGAGAACTGCAACAAGCCTAACAATTCTTTTTTTCTAATAGATTAGTGTGCAAAGTCAGAACAAACAGGAGTGACGTTCTCCTCTCAGAGGTAGCTTCTCTGATGATATTAGTGTTACCAATCCGGCTATTATAGCTGAGAGAGAAATCCAGACCCTATACGGGAGCTGGAAAATATACTTTGAGTTAAGATAGTTCCTCAAGCGCAGTCTGAGCATGTAGTCGAAAGTGAAAGCCTGAAGTCCAAACCAAGGAGAGTACTTGCCAAAGCAAAGCCCCAATCCGAAAGCCGTAGTACAAAGGCGAAACTAGTCCAAAGCCAAAAGGGTGTGTGAAACCAATAAAGCCCAGACTGGAGGAGTAGCTCACTTAGGAAAAACCAATACTGAGC